CACACACGCACCCACCAACAGACACACACGCGCACGCACACTCACACACATACACATACACATATATACATGCACACACATACACATACACACACATACACATACACACACACGCACACTTACACGCACGTTCTTTTTTTCGCATCATTGTATACAAACACCTAATTGGAAACAAAAATTATTTGAATGACGCTTCGTGTTTCTTTTGAATCAGGGACGAGCCCTTGGTTTTGCGTTTTGGGTTTAGTCTGGGCTATGGTGATGAGAAGCCTGGGTTTTGTCCCCACTGGATCTTAAAAACGTATGGGTACTTACGGAAGTTGTCACGACGTTCCGACAAAGTGGCTTGGTCTGTAATAAAGCGGACGTTAACATCGGAGGTCCCTTTTGACGAATTCTAGTGCTTTGAACAGGGTGTTGAGCCTTTTCTGGTCCGTACCGTACTGTATAATCGACCTTGCTGTTTTGGTTGGTTTTAAACTGCATTATTATGGCAAACAGATGCAGTTCGAACCAGCTTGGGGTCTGGTTTGTTTCCTTTTAAAATGTTTTAATCCTATGGTGAAGGTTGCCCTTCTCTCCAGTATGGGGAATATTTGTAACCCGTCTATAACACACACTTTTTTTAGTACTTTAGCTGGTTCAATTGCTACGAGGTTAAAGAACAAAATACCGATGACTGTGTTGTAGTGGTTACGTTTTTCTCAGTAATACAAAAGACGTGCGTGTGGTTGGAGGTTTCCAGTGGCAAGTCCTACTTCTTTTTTTCCGTCTTCTGTTTTTAGTTAGTGGTCTTGCTTCTTCCCTGCACGAAATGACCGCTATTGTGGCAATGTACTTCTCTTTACTTAAACTCAAACCGTAAGAAGTAAGTTCGATCCTTGCGTGGTTGGCGGGTGCTCTGGTGTGGTTTGCTTCTTCTTTCCTATGAAACATATATCGTCCTTATCTCCCCCTTCTTCTTTTTTTATGTTTGTTACTCTCTTGTAACACCTCTAATCTTCTGGTGCTCATAATATGACCTTATGCAGTTGCGAGCGCTGTAAAACCTCTACTAAAAGTAAAACTAAGTTCGATTTCCACGCTGGGAAGTCTGTTACTGTAAACCCTCTTTGATTATGACAGTCGTGACGGGCAGGCCGAAGCAACCCACATCTTGCATGATCTGATTTGTATCGATATGGATGTAAAAAATTTACGATCAAGATCAGAACGTACGCCTTGGATCTATTGCAAATTAAATTAAATCTTTAAAAAGCTCTTTAAATCCAATCTATGGTGGACGTTTAGCACGAAATTTCCGCATTTCAAAGTTGTGCCACCTGGCACAAATGCCTAAACATGAGTCTTTAGAGTACCAGAAATTTCGTAACTGTCCTCGGCTAACGTCACCATGCTCGTCTTATCTCTGTTACTGATCTGGCTTAACCTCGGAGGCGCTAACGCTTTGATCTCAATTCTTTGATCTTTGACAACCACGGCCGTGCCAACAGTAGTAGATACTGCTGGAATGGATACCTTATACCGTATAGTATTATTGGAGCTACTGTCTTGGGTCGCGCTGCAAATCTCTGCAATGGGTGGTTGGCGGGTGCTCTGGTGTGGTTTGCTCCTTCTTTCCTATCAAACATCTATTGTCCTTATCTCCCCTTCTTCGTTTTTATGTTTGTTACTCTCTTGTAACACCTCTGATCTTCTGGCGCTCATATTACTTTATGCCGTTTCGAGCGCTATAAAACCTCTACTAAAACTAAATCACTAGTCATTTGTGTTTCCGCTTTTCGTCCACATTTTCATTCTTTTTCTTTCCTTCTCTCTCCTGCGACATTGCCACTTACTGTGCGTACCGGTTCCTATTTTTAACCTCATCATGACAAATCAGTGTTCCAACTAGCTGGTGATTCTGTTAATAAACTCACCCCTCCTGTCCATGTTTATCCTCTCGGCTATTTTCTTTTTTTTTTTCACCTCATATTCCTTGACAATGTGCTATTTACGTGTATTGGAAAACCCCCAAAAACGAAACAAAACAAAACAACCCCCCCAAAAAAACAAC